TTTACTGTACGGTAAAGAGAAGATCAAGTATATTGATGTTGCAAACGCCTTGGTGAACAATGAGTTCAGAAGGAAAGATAAGTCTGCAAACAGGGACTCAACATCCGAGGCATTAACAGTCGGAGGCAGAACAAATAACAGAAGAAATACAAGGCGAGGAAAGTCTCGCTCAAAATCCAGGGGGAAACCTTCAGACAAAAGACGTCTTGCAAAAGACGAGTGTGCAGCTTGTCACGAGAAGGGACATTGGGCAAAAGATTGTCTAAATAAAGACAAGACAGAAGAGAAGGTGAATATTGCACGAGATGGAGATAATGATGAAGGAGGAGCCTTCACAGTTTCATCATATGGCCAGTCGGATGAATGGATAATAGATTCCGGATGTTCATTCCATATGTGTCCTAACAAGCAGTGGTTCTCGAGCTTACGAGAGTTCGATGGAGGAGTTGTGCTGATGGGCAACGACCAAGCTTGCCAGACAAAGGGGATTGGAACAATTAAACTGAAGAGCCATGATGGAACAATCAGAATTCTTGAAGATGTACGGTATGTACCAGATCTAACCAAGAATCTCATCTCAGTGGGAGTTTTAGACTCCAAAGGTTACAGAATAACCATGGAAGGTGGAGTCCTTAAAGTTGTTCGAGGAGCATTGGTTGCAATCAAGGGTACTCGACAGGGAAATTTATATTTCCTAGATGGCTCTACAGTCACAGGAAGAGTGGCTGTCTCCACCAGCTCAGAAGATGATGCATCAGACACTTCCAAACTTTGGCACATGCGCCTAGGGCATGTCGGTGAGAAGGCTTTACAAGGGTTGGTAAAGCAAGGCCTGTTGAAAGGCGCCAAGACGGGGAAGCTTGAGTTCTGCGAGCATTGTGTATTGGGCAAGCAAACAAGAATCAAGTTTGGTACTGCAATTCACCGTACCAAAGGGATTCTACACTACGTCCACACCGACGTATGGGGTCCTTCCAAGATTGCTTCGTTGGGAGGTAAACACTACTTTGTGTCGTTCATTGATGATTTCTCTAGAAGAGTTTGGATTTATACAATGAAACACAAAGATGAAGTCTTAGACATCTTTCTTTCATGGAAGAAGATGATTGAAACCCAGACAGGCAGACGGATCAAGAAGCTCAGATCTGACAATGGTGGAGAATATACATCAGATCCCTTCTTTGAGGTTTGCCAGAATGCAGGGATAGTGAGACATTTCACAGTTCCTGGAACACCGCAGCAGAATGGAGTTGCAGAACGCATGAACCGCACTTTGGTGGAGAAAGTCCGGTGTATGCTGTCACAGTCTGGATTGAGCAAGGCATTTTGGAGCGAGGCATTGAACTATGCTCGTCATCTTGTCAACAGACTACCTACTGCAGCATTAGATGGGAAGACTCCCATGGAGGTATGGTCAGGAGTCCCAGTTACTGATTATGATCAGTTACGTATCTTTGGATGTCCAGCATATTTTCATGTTACAGAATCTAAGTTGGATCCAAGAGCCAAGAAAGCCATCTTATTGGGCTTCGGTGACGGTGTCAAGGGATACAGACTGTGGTGCCCTGAATCAAAGAAAGTTCTCATCAGAAGAGACGTTACCTTTGATGAGTCTGCAATGCTGAAGCAACCAGATCCTCAACAGAATGAGGAAGCATTGAAGAAGTCAGTGCAGGTGGAGTTTGAGACTCCAACAAAGACTAGTCAGCCAATCAACCATCCTGAAGAAGTCTCAGAGGATAGCTCTGAAGAAAGTTCAGATGAAAATGAAGATCCAGAGGCTCCGCAACAATCAGAACCCATTGCAATCAGGAAAGGAAAAAGGGTTACTAAGAAACCCAGTTGGATGACCGATATGGTAGCCTATGCACTCCCAATCATTGAAGACAATGTTCCGTGCACTTTCAAAGAAGCCGTGCATAATGCAGAAAGTGCCAAATGGAAGGAGGCTATGGATGAAGAGATCGGGTCACTTCACAAGAACCAGACTTGGGAGTTGGCCGATATGCTCACAAAGGTAGTTTCTGGGATCAAGTTCCAACACTGTTTGGACTTGGTCAACATCTCTCGGAACTGAGCACCTTCTGGTGCTTGGCAGTGTTGATCGATCACTATGTTGGATAAGAGAATCCTCGCTAAGGTGGAGATTTGTTGAATATTGGCTACAGATTCTGGCCATGTGATGGAAAGTGGCAGCCAGCTACATGGTGGGGAAGCCATGAGGCCATGTGAGCTGGCCATGAGGCCATGAGAAGCCATGTGAAGCATCAATCTGGAAAGCCACCGAAAGCACAACAATGGGCTGGCAGCCAGCTCATTTCAAAGACTTTCTCTTGCATTTGTAATCTCTATATATAGAGAAGCTAAGGAGAGTTGAGATGTACAGCTGAGATAACAGAGAGGTGTGAGCTTAGAGAGCAAAGAGAGAGAGAGAATTACAGAGAGTGTTGTAATTCTTACCATTTTGTTCAATATAGTGAATCCGCTGCCCGTGGACGTAGGCGACTTGCCGAACCACGTTAAATCTTGTGTGTTATTGCTTGTTTGAGTTCCCTGGTGTGCCCCCGATCCGCAACAAAGACCCCATCTTTGCTGTGGTGATAAGGGCCTATTGACACAATTTCTGGCTCAATGTCCCTAGGACTGCCGATTTCTATGAGGCTTTGAGGGACTTTGCATATGAAAGCATTTTGCCTTTCTTTTAAGTTTTGGATTCCTTCTCTTCTAAATTCGTTCAAGCGCCTCTGCATGTGAATGATAGATGCAACGTTAGTGGATTCTCCTATTTCATTGGTAGAGCGAACTGGCAATTCTTGGTTGCTATCTGATTCCGCTATTGTAATGGCTTGGTGCTCTCTATTCTCCACATTTTTTTTGTTTGTTTTTTTTTTTTTTTTTTTCTCTCTCTTTCCCTTCCACTATTTCACATATGCATGCTGAAGGTGGAGTGAGACCTTTCTCATGTTCATTGCTCAGATAGAAAGCTTGCTAAATAAAAGGTGTTTTCTTGGGGTTATCGTCACCTCACCAGCTTTTACTATGAAACTGAAGTGAAGGTTTCAAGGCAAAGAAAGAACACAACAAAAATCTCTTCATGTTCTAGAAATTTCCCAGAAATTAATTTTTAATTTTATATTTTTAGAAGCATCCCAGAAATTACTTGAGATTAGGTTTCAACAACTGATGTCAAATTTATAAATATTTTTTTGGGTGCAAGGTCCTTGAAGTGGACTTACCCACCAGCTATTCACTAGGAAACTGAGGGGAAAGGTTTCATGGCAAAGTAAAAGTGGTGTTTGATAATAATTGCCACAAAAAGAAAATAGACTTTTTAGTCCAATAAGATAAAACATCACATTCAATTCATAATCATTACATTTTTTCTCTCACAAAAAAGTCAAAAAAGTTAAAAAAGCCAAAACTCCTTCCCAAACCAGGCTTTCTAGCCTTAGGCTAAAATATCCAAAAAAGCTAAACAGTAAGAGAAGAAAGAGATACAAAAAAGCAGAGGCAAGGCAATATGTTATGCGAACAAGTGATTAGTCATTTTAGCAATGTTCAAAGCAATTTTATTTTATTTTTTAAAGTTTTGATTTATGGAATCAAACTGTATTGCTTCGTGATTTGATGAGAATTTTGAGATATAAACAAAATTGATCCTTTTTTTTATTTTTTTTATTGGGTGCGTTTGCAATTCAAATTAGGTCTTCCATCAACATATAAGTCATTATTTACCTCAGAAAGCAAATTAAACAACAGAGAAGAGAGAAAGGAAAACCCTAGACGTACGATGTCGTCGAGCTAGAGACAAAGAGGATCAAAAGATCTACCGAAGTGAAGGACGAGAAGTTTGTCGATGGTGTCTCTGATTATAGAGCTTGCCTTTAGTTTTTTTAATTTGTTTATTATTTATTATTTGGGTTTACCTTTAGAGTAATTTGGGAAAAATAATAGGGTGTCGTGAGAGTTATGTAAAATTTTAAATAATTGAATAAGGAGTACTCAGAAATTGAAAGTATTTAATAATTTTTTGGGTGTAAATAGAATCTCCTAACTTGGGTTCAACCTTCAACAAGCTTTTTATTGGTGGATCATAAATCTAATCTGATCTTCTTGACTCCAAAGCTATATCAAAGAATGTAAATGAGAACCAATACTGCTTAGCCCAAACCCCAGTGGTTATGATTTTTTTTTTAATACATCTAGCATAGTAGTTGTGTGCGTAATTTCAAATTTAACTCCTGTAGAGAGGATTTGAGATGGTGTTATTTCTCTCTCATTATAGAGGTTGTGTGTAATAGTAGTGAAGTGGTTGTTAGGCTTGTGTTCGGACTTAATATATTGGTAATTGGCTGTTAAGTAGGTTTTATTGACTTTCTATATTGTGTGAGTTAGTAGCCTGTTTTAAGAAAAAAAAAAAAAAATACTAACTAACTAGCTAGAAGTGTAATGATCATATAATTTGAGGAAATCATTAGAAAAGTAAACATATGCATATAGTGAATCTGGATGGAAAAACTTGTTGGCTGGACATACAACTTATTGAACCAAGTTCGACATTTTATGCTAAAAGAAAATGACCCGGCCATATGCTCCATGTAGGCCACTCTTTAAAGAGATAAATCATTTCCCTCTAAGATGGCACAGCAAGGCTCTGTTTGGAAATTTAGTTTTTCAAGTTTTTTATGAGGTAAAAAAGTTAATGTATTTGGAAGTGTTTTTAGTTGAATGGATAATTATGAGGAAAAAAAATTAATTGTCTTGTATGACGTAATCCTTTGTTATTGGGGTTAAATTTTTGGCTTTCTTACTTTCTTTTTTTCCTATGTGTGTGATTTTTTGGATTTTAGTCACTTTACAAAAAAAAAAAACCCTTTTAAGTGTTGCTTGAATTTAAATGTCCACATTCAATTAGTATATTTTGATGCATAATTAACACTTATATACATGTTGGATGGCAAGATTAATCAATAAAAACCAAAATGGCAAAACTTAAATACTTTTTAGTACTAAAAAGGTAATTAATCCTTTAATAATAATAATAATAAAAGAAGAAATACAAGAGTTTCACCAGAACCAACCAAACCAAAAGCAAAACAAAAGAAAAACCCACAAAATACATATAACTGGAAGACACATACAAACTTAACAACATATAACAGGCTCCAGCTTGCGGCTTGCACATGTAGTGCTAACAAACTTCTAGAATCTATACTTCTTGAGCATAAAACTTCATTAGCTATAATCATCCTTGAACAAGCAAGAGAGTAAGCACCATGAAGATTATTGCGACGAACGAGAGAGATGTAACAACAATACAAACTCTAGCACTGAAAGCAAAAAATCAAAAGAACTAGATGTAAGTTTCTAAAAAAATCGGAAGAATTAATGAAAAATTCACATGTAATAGAAAGTACGAGTGGGTCAACAACAAATATTGAGTACAATAGTGACATTCCAATAAAAAATCTAAAATGAAATTGGATAGACATCTCTTGAATACAACTCATCCAATCATGAATGAAAGATTTCAACCTTATTATAGATGATATTGCCACATGGTATCACTATTATACTAGCAAGTGTGTAAGCCATCATGGATGTGTGTATATGTACCCACATCTATGCTATATAATTTATTCCATTTTAAAGGAAAAGATGAGACACCCAAACAAAATAGGCAGACAAGTTAACATAGAAGGATAAGAAAAAGAAGAGAAAAGCGTCATAGGAGATTTCTTGGGACAACTCAAACTTAATAATATGCATAAAGATATATGGGTGAGATAAACATTCACCTTTTATACAGTTAATTCTGATCAGCATAACAGTCCAGAAGCATTAGCTATGGTGGACCTTGTAGCTCAAAATGGCTGTGATTGTCTATATCGCTGTTAGCGCCAGCAGAGCAGAGGCTGAGATGACTGAGATGGTTGACCACGGTCTGCTAAAATATGTGCGCCTCAAAGTTGCCCAGTTGCTATTATAGTAGGCCTCCACTTGTCTGAATTCGTCTTTTAGGTAACACTCTCTAATGTTGAACACAACATGCTCTCCAAACATCTTGAAAAGATTAGCAACATGATTATCATTGTAGGAGAAATTTGAGATAATTCCGTCCTCACAAAGGAATGTAACGTCTCTACTTGAGTTGATGAGACAACTCATGAAGGCAATATATTCAGAAAAGCGTTTCGAGTAGGGCCGTGGGTAGCATTGTTCATAGGCAACACAGTTAATTAGGACAGTGCTGGTGAAATCATTGATGGTCATGGGTGGGATTTCTAGCACCCTTTTGTGGAAATTTATGTCCAAGAAATTATCGTCTTTTTGTGGCCTAAACTTGACCCCAGCATGCCGGAGCCGTGTCACACATGGTATTGACTGATCAGATAATGGACGATACCTTGGTAATCCAGGTGATCTTCTTTTGCAGAGCTTGGTTAACTTGCTGAGGTATCTTAAGCAGGGGAGCAATCTTCTTGTGGACGGGTAGCTTGAGCCGTTGTAACTTAACCAGGCTTCCCTAAACCCGGCTTGCTGTATTTTTGGGACGCAGTAGCTAGTATAAAACAAGTCAAGTAGATGACTGCATTCTTCATAAAGGTAAAGTCATCATTGTCCCTTGAATGATTCAAGGGACCTCGGTAGGGCAAGATTAAAAAACTGTAGGGCTTGCCAAACAAAGTGTTCACTTGTATTGCAATTGGAGAGACTGAATAACTTCAAAAGAACGAAGAGGGGAATTTGGTTTTCAAGCTTTAAGAGGTCTCTAATGAGAATCGGAATTAACCATGGCTTCATGAGCACTAGGCTATTGACATTCGCAGAATCTTCACTCCGGCAAACTTGTTGGAAGAGCTCAATGATAAAGCAACCATCAAGTAGCATCATCTCAATGAAATCATCACTTGACATCTGAATCAGCTCTGAGTATTGTGCCCTTGCCTTGACCTTCTAATTCTTTCATGGCTAGCGTCATGAGCTGTAAAGAATTCTTCGGTTGTTTCATTCGAGAAAGTAGGGCTCGGTCGAGCGAAGAACTCAAACCCTCAGGTCTGAACCCAGACACACGCTCGAGCGAAGGAACTATAGCTCGAGCGAAGGATGAACTAACTCGCTCGAGCGAAGAAAAGCTCGCTCGAGCCAAGAATGCACAGCTACAGGTCCAAATCAAACACTACCTCTCGCTCGAGCGAACAACAAAGGCGAAGCTAATCTGGAGAAATCTTTTACAAACCGACGGTAATAACCAGCTAATCCCAGAAAACTACGGATCTCAAAAACGTTCTTAGGCTGTGCCCAATCCTGCACTGCCTCTACCTTGGATGTATCAACAGACACTCCTTCACCGGATACCACATGGCCTAAGAATTTGACTTCCCTCAGCCAGAACTCACACTTCCCAAACTTGGCATACAGCCTA